TTACACTTGGTACCGCTAGAGTTCAGGAGAATGCAGAGCCAGGAGACCGCGTTCTTATTTAAGGGGGAAGGGGAAATACCTGTTTTGGGCACTTTTGACTCTAATATTATAAACATGCTAGTTAAACACGTTCAATAGGAAACCATAAAGTAGCCACATATGTAATATCTTTAACAATTATTTGCGAATGCTGTCCATTATTAGAAATGTATGTATTTAAAACCTTCGTGTTTCATCAGCAGTAATTTTAGTTGAAGGAGCTGAGACGCAGCACTCGGGGGAAGGAGATGTAGGTTTTAAACTAGTTTGCGTTTCAACTTGTTTTGTATATCAAAATAAATAAAAAACAAAATAATGTGGTTTCGACAACAACATTTTTCATTGCCTCTATACAAACAATTAATTTGGTGTGCACCAAGCTAATTTCCTTGACTCAACAAAGGATTTTCCTCATTTGACGGTACTGTTTACTAGATAAGGAACATTGTAAATATATGCAGCTAGAATATAATAGAATCGAAGGAAATTATTTAAATATGTTAAAGGAAAGAATAATTTTCGCAGCTGGTTATTATTATTCATTCCCATGGAGCTGAAATATATCGCCCAAAAGGATGTAGAATGGCCTGGCCTTTTTAAGTATTTAGGATTATCAGTTTTCGTATGGAGAAAGAATAGATCTTACTGGTGCAAACCATGAAAGCTGATGATGAAAATGACGTTGAGGAGGAATTTACACAGGTAATAAACTAAAATACTAACAGCGTACTGTTGTATTAAACCAACCTAACCAGCTTCAGAGCGAAAAGGCCTGTAGCTCAGAAGCGTGACCGAGCAGCGGCGTAGTAAACATCGCGTCCGGTGTGCGGAGTTCTGTCGCCCCGCGCTCTTAAACGGGGCTCTGTTCAGACGCGCGTAGTAATAGTTCTATATTAGTGTCAGTCACGTCTAGATTTGTCCAACATGTCTAATGTGCGCGTGAATACCTTGCATTTCGTGTTTGCCAAACGACCTTCGGCCATGGAAATACATGAATGGATTGATACTGTTTTAACTGTAAGAGAAGATCAAATTGAAGTTATTCTACTGGATGGGCACCAGAACTGTTTGTTTTTAAAACTCGTTTCCTCTGGACCTTGTGAAGCGATACAGCGTCGCACCAACGGCCAGCCAAATTTAGTCACCGCAGACCAGGAAAGGATCAACGTCATCGTCAATTGTCATCACATCTACGCCTTATAAAGCCCAATTGGTGGAAGCTAAAAAAGCTAAAGAAGTCAAGAAAGCTGAGCGGAAAGCACGGAATCGTGCTCAAGAACGGAAAAGCAATCGCGGCCGGGGACGAGGTTCAGCAGTAGAGACTTCAAGAAATAGTAAACGGTCTCGTGAAAAAGCATCTAAATTTGGAGAAAAATATGAAAGAATCAATCACCGACCATGAAAACAGTATGTCCTCTGGAACATCTGAATTGGAGCTTCTCCCAGGAGTTTCCCCATCCAAAGGTGACGATGCTTGGTGTATGTTTTGTGACAGGGAATTTTGGGAGGATTCTGAAGGGGATCTTTGGGTCATATGCGTTATGTGCTCGCTGTGGGCGCATGTGGATTGTGCTGGGACTGAAAAGGACGTGTACATCTGCGATTTTTGTCGCTAAACGATTCAATTCTGTTTTCTGTAATTGTTATATTATACTTATACCTTGAAACTATATTATGATTTCTCTGATTTCATACCTTTTTCTAATTTTGTTTAGAGTACTTTTGATTATTTTTAAAAGGGGTCCTATTTCGGCAACTATTTTTCAAATCGCCAAAGCGTAAGGTTTTGAAAACAATTTTTATTATACTGCTTTTTAATTATAATTTCTAAAAGTAAAATTTAAATGGTGCATATCATTATAAAGTAATTTTTTTTTTCTATTTTCGATTTTTTTAAATCAAAACCAAAATGGCGGTTTTTATATTGGCCACTATCCTCTATTATGAATCAATAAAAGTACTAGCAAATATTTTTACGATCCTAATTCTCACAAAAAAAAAAATCACTGCAGCTGTATTTTCGAACGAAGGCAGTAAAATGAGTAGCCGAACGAATATATAAAGAAGATTCAAACAAATATTTCGTTGTCAGTTCAATTTCTTTTGGCTTAGTATTGAGGCGTTGTTAATTAAAGCGTTTATTTTGTTAGACGAACAAAAGTAATTTGTTTTTTCTCAAATTTTGTTTACTGAACAAAATATTTTGTTGAGGTAGCTTAATATATTTTTGGCTGTATAAAAAAAGTCCTTTTTTTGTTTTTCCTCAGTGTGCTAGCTCTCGAAAGAAACGCATTTCAGCTGACTAGGTACTTTTAGTCGTGTTTCTCTGATGTCCAATTCTGATGCTATAAATTAAATTTGTGTGAGATCATTATTTTGTACAATATTTAAATTGTAATTTTATTCACTTCTCGCTTACCCTTCACGCAAGTTTTGAAGTCTCCTTAGTTTTATTTCTGCTTTTTTACTCTTCAAGTTAAAAAAAGTATCATCCTTAATACAAGAAGGAACTTATTTTTTATATTAGTGTGTTTTCTAACTATTATTCTAGCGAGTATGGGATTTCCCCCTTTTATCTTCGAAAGGGGAGATTAAAAAACAATCGTGATTTTTTAATTATAGAATAGTTTTTATCTTAGATAATCGATTTGTTTACAATATCATCTAAATAAATATTATAAAAAAATTCGAGACATTGGACAACATCATTTCAATACATACGCTAAGGTTCTTCCTCTCCTGAAATTTATTCCACGGAGTATTTACATGGTTTTATCCTCAGTAGAACTCCTTATCTAGTTTGCTGGCAGGAAATTTAATTCATATCAACATTATTGTTCAACTGTGCTCTTCACTCCAAATTGTTTTGGATTATGTTAAAAGGAATACAATTAAAAGTTCATGAAATGGACTGTTGTTGGCAATGATGAAAGGCCCCATTGTCTGCCAGTTCTGAACTTGTAGAAAGTAGAATAAGGCTCAGTTTGCCGTGCTAGGAGTCGAAAGGCCTAGCCACTGCTCCACCGCGCCACCAGTTATGTGAAATACAGATGTTCCATAGTATCTGCCTTCATGTCGTGGTGACAAAAGCAAATAGAGCTAGTTTGTGGATTTTTTTGCACTCTCTATGAAAGTTGTTATTTCGAAAAAGTTATTGTATTAAAATTGAATATCTTATTTAATTACCGGTTGGCTTTCGAAGCAAATACGCGATTATCAAAATGGTACTTATTTTATATACCAAGCGACACTCAGCATCTACCGGACTAATACAGCGTTTTCCTTAACATGACTCTTTAGCATGTTGTCGGAAGTGCAATATAGGAATGTAGCCTATATCAATCTCAAGACAGGGCCTCATATGCTTAGGACTACAGGAATAATACATACTGCGGCACCCGGCTTACAAGCGTTTTTCTGGTAGAAGTAAATATGTGCGGAATTGGAGCTATGGTTACATTCCTTAATAAATTTCTAGCGCGAAGAAGAGTGAAGAGGGGCGAGTGAGTGAGTCAAGAGATTTGGGTGGCACTTAACAGCGAAATATTGAGATCAGGCGAGGGTGACTGAGGTGAGTATGGAGCAATGCTTGAATGAAGGGCAGAGGAATCGCGAGATCCCCGAGAAAACCCGCCAACGAGCGGCATCGTCTGGCACGATTCCCACATGTGAAAATCCGGGAGTGACCCAGCCGGGGACTGAACCCGTTTCACCTGTGTGGGAGGAGAGCAGGCTAACCGCTTAGCCACCGCGGTCCCACGGGAAGAGGGAAATGCAACATATATACTGTAAAAAATATCAACAGTAAGAAATTGTATAATTACATGCAGTTCACTTCGCAGAAAATTTCAGCAGCGGGTATATCCTTATGAAAAGTGCCTTGGAAGGTTATGAGTAAAGACTCATTTTTAGGGATGTATTTGTTTTGCTTGCGGTGTTTTTTTTTTTTTTTACTCTGACCAGTGCCATGGAAGGTACCCCCCACCTCAACTGGACAGACAAGTACCTCCAGTAGAAGATGAAAAAAATTAATAAAACAACATAGGTAAGTCGAGTGTTTTGAACCAAAGTTGGTATATACATATACGGTGCTGTCGATGTACTAGCGGTGGTTTAGTGTCATCAAGAATTCCGACAGTGAGAAATATGTTGTTTAGCTTCATAGCGGTTTGCAGTACTACTGCCGCTACCCAACGCCACGATTCCAGTGTGGAATTTTTCAATTGTGCTCTAATGCCCGTGATCCCACCTCAATATGACGTCTGCCAATATAGGAATCTCCTGCAATTTGTAAGGGACTGAGATATTCTGTGGTCACCTCTCCGGCAAACAGATGACGTCGTTGTTACATGGACGGCGCGGTGGTTCGTTATCCTCCACGAAGTCACTCCACTCTTCCTCCTGCATGTCAACAGTGCGAAGTTTGTCCTATAGGTGATATACTGTGCGAAGGGAATAACGGGAAATCTATCCCCTGCAGTGAAGCCACCCGCAAGCCTGTAATGTATTAAAGGAAAACTTGTTTTGTATGTACTGCTGAATTTTGTACGAGGAATGTGTGATAAGTCTATGCACATTCCATCGTTGTTGCTAACAATGCTAACCCTCATAATAGTGATGCGATGTATAGTTCCTTTAGTGTAGTGAAAATTTTTTGCCAGGAAATGGCGTTACCGACATATAAAATATGTGTACCGTAAATACAGACATTGTAAAAATGTTATCGAGAATATTAATGGTTCAGTGATCACAAAAACATAGTTGAAAATATAACTTACTTGTTGTTATAAAAGAGAACAAAGATGTATTTCACATCGCTTACATCACAATGCAGCATATAGTAACGTACATTTACCTTGATTTCATGCGTGCGTGTTTCCTTACTCATTTTGCAATGTTAAGTTGAAGTTAAGAGCTAACCATTCACAATGGTAATGTCACATTTTACCGACAAAACGTAGTATCCCAGGTGAGGCTCGAACTCTCGGACACGGCATTACTCGGACACTGTCTTATAAGTACCGTGCGCTAACTGATTCCGCCACTAAATTAGCGGATGTAAAAAAATTCTGTTTTAAATTTTTTACTTATTTTTTATTTAAAACTTTACGTATAATAACAAAATAAAAATTTTTCTCTTAATTTTATGCAAATTTCTTTTTAAAAAATATTTGTTGATAATTTTGTGAGAAAACCTATGGTTATCTTCAGGTTTTGTTTTACACACACACACACTACATATATATATATATATATATATATATATATATATATATATATATATATATATATATATATATATATATATATATATATATATATATATATATGTGTGTGTGTGTGTGTGTGTGTGTGTGTGTGTGTGTGTGTGTGTTTAAGACAATTCTTTTGAAATATTGACTGATTCCACGTTTTATATCACTATTATTTCGCAGAAAGTTTGCATTTTTATATCGAAAACCATACACTCTATCAACTGTTGCTCTATATGACAGTTAATAGGATTCTCATTTATAGTCAGTAAACATAAGCCAATCAAAATTTTAATATAGTTATTTCAATTCCGTTCAACCCTTTTATGTTCCGGGAATAAGCACATTGTATGACCTTTTTCCATAACTCTGCAAATGACAAATCAAAGAATTTACCTAAACATATTTGCAGATGAGCAAAAGGACATTTTTGCAGTTAGTTATTTTTTTGTATTCCAACTTTAAACATATGCAAGCTCCATCATATTTTTTTCTCGGTGTTTTTATTATTTTCACTTCTTCTGCTGTATATTTTGGCTTTGTCCATATTGCTGTTCTGCTGTCTTATTCACACAAAGAATTGTATCGTATTGAATCCGAAATTGTGAAAAGTATAAGTCGTTTATTAACGAGTGTCCACTTGTCGGGCTTTCCCCGCTTGTTTGTACATACATTGTATAAACCAGATTATAAATCGAAATCAAATTAAAATCAGCGAGTGTAGTTTGGTGATACCAATGTCCACAGAGTTTCTTTAAACCAACAACATCGAGTCGTCTGCACAGGTTCACTCAGATGAATAAGTAAATTTCTGGTCTTTGTCCAGAAGAAAAATGTACACAGAGTGGCCCATTCTCAGCGGTACCCAGTCTTTGGTTAATAATATTAAAAACAATGGAAATACTGTAACGAAATTTTGAACAGACCTATTCTGCTTTGTGTGAAATGGGGTGACATTCGCGTCCATACATCGCTGAACTCGGCGATCCATAATGAAGATGTGCAACGAAATAGAAGATAATGAAATGCGCGTAGCAATATGTCATTCCGTTTTGGATTGTAGTGTTATGTGTTTACCCGCAGAACTTTCGCCTCGTGGCCGGAAGTGTGTGTTAAATTGCACCGTGGTGACAGTGTATTAAATTTAACAGATTATTAAATAAGGAAGGAAAATAATTCATCGGTTAACTGTAGAGCAGCATGTCTTTCCTGTTCGGATAAACTTAATAACATACTTGATTAAGAAATGTCATAAGACATTTTGGGACAAGTTTGGAGGCAGACCTACACAGAATAAGTCCACATTTTCGGCCCTCGCGAAGAAACTCGAAACAGATGTGGTTTTATTGGACATGAATGAAGGGGGTCGTCCGTACATGTCTCAGAAAATTGTCGAGGATGTAAGGAGATCTCCGTCTACTGCCCTCTCCAAAGAAGTCACTGAACTGACTTTATCAAGAAACAAGAATGTCAGAAAACACTTCTCATCGCACAGAAAAAAAACAATCTCGATGAGTACCGTATGTACTATATCCGCAATATCAAAGAGCCTGTAGGGACCACGGTGGCTGAGCGGTTAGCTTGCTCGCCTCCCACTAAGGCAATCCGAGATCAATTCCCGGCCGGGTCACTCCGGATTTTCGTATGTAAGAATGGTCGGCGGGTTTTCTCGGGGATCTCCCGTTTATCCCGTCCTTTGATTCCAACGCTGCTCCCTACACACCTCAATCACGCTCATTGGCTCTCAAGACTTCAATGTTAAGAGCCGTCCAAATCTCATCACTCACTCAACCTCCCGTCTTTGGACCAGTGGTAATCATCACGCGGTTCATCAAGATCCTCTCCATTCAGAAAATGTGTCGTTTAGTTTGCAATTTCCCACCGGTGCATAATTGACCCAATTTCCTTCGAGACAACCATCACGACTACTGTACTCAATGCCTATTTCAACATTTTTTTACGTTATTACGTTTCACAGAAAGCAAATTACGCCTTTTGAAGATTTCGACAGAATATCTTCATTATTGTTAACGTTGTTGACGAAACCCTAAAATGTACTTGGATTTCTTCCATACCTCCCGCGACGCAGAATAAAATTGTAATCTTTTTTTTTTTCAGCTGAAAATTAATTTTAAATCAGAAAAATATTTTTAACCTCCTTTAGATATTTTGAGCAAATTAACAACCTCAACTATTTCTGTCGGTAGCTCATAACGTCCTGAAATGGTTATATAATGAGCATAAAGGATAGGCTAATGGAGATACTGGGGTTCGAACCCAGGGCTTCCTGCATGCGAAGCAGGCGCTCTACCTCTGAGCTATACCCCCAGATGTCTCAAATACCACTTAGGAAGAATTTTTACGTACATATTCCGTACAGAAATCTTAGGTTATCTAACGATGCTTAAATACTCATAGTAACTGAGTTACTGGTTCCACTTATTTCCAGCCGACAGCCAGAATAAAAAGCAGTTTTAAAACTCTATTATTTGTCCTTTTCTTGGTTTTCTGACAATTTTTGCTGGTTCTTTTCTTTTCTGTCACTGCGTTGTCTTATTAGTCTCGTGTTGCTCCTTGTCGGACTGGATAATCATTCTTCAAAATTTAAATTTATCGATTATTATATTTGTTCAATGCTCTGTTGTGACGAACCTTAAATTTACCTTCCCCCTCCCAACTTGAAGTCTATAGTCCGTATACAGTCCCGGGCAAAGGATGCCCTGCCCTCATAGCTCAGGGGTAGTGCGCCCGCGCCCCGGCGCCTCCGACGTGGAAGGTGCTCAGCTCGATTGTCGCACTGGGAATTCGTCAACAAGTCGGTATCACTAGAGTCTCGCCAACGTCAAAAACGTTACAACGTCAAAAAAAAGGGGAGGGTAGTTGAAATGAAATCTCATATTGTCTAATTTCCTTTTACTTTATTTTTATTATCTTTTTGCATTTTTCTGATTGATTTTCGACAGACATTAAAGATAAATAAACACTACTAGTGAGTTCGTCATCCACCAATGCAGAAATCGTGTCCCTGTTTTTATTTCACAAATTCATACTTAGATAGCTACCTTTAACTCGTACCATTAATATTTGAGATATTCATAATTCAATTTTATATATATATATATATATATATATATATATATATATATATATATATATATATATATATATATTTGACAAACGGTGAGGCTGTGAGCTGAGCGTAAAAATAAATTTATATTTTCTGATTAAAATAAATGTCTATCTCTAAATGTCAGAACCTGCGCTTTTTTTGTTATAATCCACGTTCTGCTGTTGTCGGCTTAAGAAAATGTATCGTTTACACTAAAAGTGCTTATAAATACACATTCATATAGATATGCAGACATTTAAATCAGACACGAGTGAAATATTATTAATATTTATTTTTAATTATTTATTAATTTCTAAAAGTATACTGGCAGACAGCAATTCGTGAAATGTTCAGTGTCACTTAAACCACTCATGCGCAGCTCAACTGTTCGAGATATTCTGCAATTCTTTGATAGGAGTTGCAGCAAGGATACAATATTAATTTTTTTTTTCTTTTTCCATTTTCTAAAACATTGCATTATAAACGACATACGAAATTGAAGCGCGAAGTAGTAATAAATTATTTTCTCAACAACTCAAATGAATATTACACAAGTTACAGTCATAAGCAAAGTTGGCGTACGAAACGCCTGTTCAGTTTAAATATCTCAACTGTATCCAAATCAATGAAATCTGTCTGCATGCCAATGATCTCAGCAGCACTTGTATTACGGAATTATACGTATTACTAAAAAGGCAGCATGTTTGTGAGATTATACTAATTAATTATTAATCGTACCTTATACGCCATATCAACCAAAAATGAGCAATTTTCTAGGTTATGAATCGTAAAAGTATACAGTGGAGCGTTGGTACAGCATCCCAAAAAGTCCTCATTAGCATCTGTTCTTTCAAATAAGACATTATATATGTATATAGAACTGAGAATTCGGTGTGCTGGTATACCACAAATTAAAAATTCTCACAAAATATCATTGATTTAAGCAGTAATTGTTAGCATGTGCAACATCTGTTGTTGAATTAAATTTTTGTATTAGCATTATAACTTTCTTCCGAGGCCTTAGTCTGTCTTTTTTCAAAATATTCCTCGGTAAGTGTGTTTATTTATCTATTTCTATAGCGTCTTCATGGCATTCCCCATCTTTAAAAATGTTATATATTTATACTTCTTCCACTGTAGTTCATTGCTTAATGTACCCAGCATTATAAACGTCTACTTTACATTTTTTCCATATATATATAATATATATATATATGTATATATTAATTCATCTCTTTGCGGAATTAATTTTCCGGAATATATTTCTAACGTTTTCTACTATCTCTAAGAACATCCCGATTTTTTATTTGTAATTTCTTCTATCCACAAAGTTAGTTAAAATGAGTTCACTGTCACTTTATCAATGCTTTTCTTCTTATTTTGTTTGCATTTTTTCGTTGTGCGGTGTTGCTGAAACAACGAGGCATTTTATTTACTTCAAATTGCATATTCTTTCACATTAAATGAAATGTTTATAAAATAACACATAGATATTCCAAAACTACTGGCTCACATTTCATGCTGAATTATTTTCCAGCCTAATATGGTTTCCATTATAGAGAACCACTAAATGTGTGATACAGTTAATTTTCTCTGGTGATATAACTTCATTCATTAATTCTTCCTCCTGTGAGTTAAATATTTGGAAATTATTCTGGAATTCACACCACACCCCACTACTATGTAGTAA